GCTCCTCTCCTGAGCAGAACCCGCCGATCTCTGTAGAAGTGACACTGCCTGAGTGTTTAATTCTTTAAGGAGGCGTTATTGGGGTTTTGTTCTGCACATCTCCATGTCGCGATAGAACAACAAAGTTCATATTTTTTGTGTTGGAAACATCAATAAGAAACATTGTTTACTAAAGGAGAGGAGCCTGTTTCAGTGTGCAGCCTTGTTCTCTCAAAATAAATCATCACAGCTGAGGATTCAATAGACTGTGCAGTTCTATCTTATTCAAATAATATACTGATAATACCCTGAAAGCCTTTAGTTCTCCTTATTGTCATTGCTCTTATCCCTGATCTGCTGTAACTCCCGAACATTTGAGATATTTGTGCCCACACCGTAATAAAGTAAAGTTGTGTCTCTCTGTATATATAAACTTGTTCAGATCAGTATCTAAAAATGTTAATAATGGGATCACGTCCCCACATACTGACATCTTTGGTTGGATCTTCCAGCTGGGACCGTTGTTTTCTGAGCTCCGGTCATGGCGGACCAAGAGGAGACTTTAGGCCTCCAAAACTCTCCTGGTGGTTCGGATTCGAGGGAAGTAGGCCTGCAGAACGACAGTAAATCAGAGAAACAGAACGGGACCTCAAGCAAATCCCCTTCTTCACAGACGACTTACATCCAGCAGGTCAGTATCAGTCAGTGTGCAGGCCTCTCTCTCACTGCCTCATGGCTGCAAACCGAGGTCACTGAGTTCTACTCTGGTGTGTCTTTTTGGTACTTAAACTATCCACAAACATCTTAAAACGCAAAAAAAATGTCTGATAACTTCCGAAATATGTTACATGTTTGGGTCTGATATTTGTTTCGTGTTATGATCAAGTGTTCTTTGTCTTTGAAACTGGCTGAGATATTAATTTGTGAAATTAATCATTAAATATTTTCGGGGTTTTTAGCCAAAAATTTAAGACTGAATATGACAATATGCTTCTGATAAACTCTGTAGAAAATGTGCTCGTGTGCTGTCAGATGTTTACTGTGGCCTATTTTATCCTACTCTATGTTTGTACCTTAAATGGGTTTGCTGAAGCCCAACAGCTTTAAGGCTGCAGACTGCTACTAAGTTACATTGTGTCTTACATTATTTATAGGTTAAACCTGAACATACATCGGCTCAGTGGTCTAAAAATTATTTTCATGTTTCTTTAAATTTAAAATAATGCTTCCCTTCAAGCCACTGGCATTTCTCATGTTCACTTTTTACAGATGTTTTTGACAATCTGATATTTGACCAACGCAGAAGGCCTCGAAACTGTAGTGTATGACACCGCTTCGGAAGATTTAAGTAAGCACTAAGATGTTTTATTTTGAAGGGAATGGAGGGAATAAAAGTCTACCTGCATGAGAGGGAACTGTGGATGAAGTTTCACGAGGTGGGGACGGAGATGATCATCACCAAAGCTGGAAGGTGAGATGCCTGATTTTAAAAAGTAAAATCTGACATTATTATTACGGGGAAGTACTAATCAGAAAATATATTTATCGACTGCATGAGAGTTTCTACGCTTTTAGTTTGCATGAATTTTATCCAGGCCTATTTGTGAGTTAAAATGTAGACAGTGGCCCCGCTTGGCTTCTTTTTTCTTGCATGGGGATTTGGAAAAATACACTGTGATGAGCTGCAGAGAAAACACAGAGCATCTGGTGAACGCTTTAGCGTTTTGTAACACCAGGAGTGCAGAGCCTATATTTTAGTGTGGGTGGCCTTGTTTGGAAATGCAGTACCACTGACCAATCAGCCAGACGTGTCCCTGCTAAAATGCTGCTCAGTGATAGCCTGTTTTATTCGACTTTTAATTTTATGATCAATAAAAGAAAGTCATTTTTCTGCTGTGCGGACTCATCCTGCATGCAACGCCTTTGTGCTACGCGTTATGCGGGGATTGTACACGTGTCTCAGTGTCAGCTCCACGGTTCACTTTGGATGAATCCAGTCAAAATAGCTTGCATATATGCATGGCGACCGCTGGTTGCTGCTTATGTCAGATGGCAGATAGCTCACTTGGGACTATTATAATTGATGAATATTGATAATTTAGCACTGTGCTCTCTGGAGGCAATTGTTTTTCTCACAGCTCCACAAAGTTTCTATTATATTGCCGTCAGTCATTTCACTCCTGTTTTTTGGCGTGAAATTATAGCTGTAATATTGCAAACCCCTTCTTACCCTCGGCCTTTCGCTTTCACTTCTTAGCCTTACTCCCATTATGTTTATGTCCAGCGTGACAGTTACCAAATATCAAAATGATTTACTAGATGGATCCTGCAAAAATATGTCCCACGGTGGAAACACCTTTTATAATGCGCGGGTCTCACTCTGAGCTATGTCCTTTCCAAACCACACGGCATGTATCAAACAGTTACAAGGTTTTCTTTAGTTTCAGAGAGCAGTTTTTTCATTCACATTGCTAGAACCTGTAACTTGTTTGTTTCAACCACTACAAACCCAGTAAACGTTTGAAATGGACTAAATTTGATGTAAATTTCAGAGATGTTTTTTCCTACAGGGCAGAAAACCATAAAAACACACCATGGTCCATTTTGTTGGTGTATATAGTTTGTTTTTCCACCCTTTGCCAGAAATAGCATAACGCGCTATGAGCCGTCTTTTGTCCTTTACAGGCGAATGTTCCCCAGCTTTAAAGTGAAAGTCACGGGACTAAACCCCAAAACCAAATACATTCTCCTGATGGATGTTGTTCCTGCGGACGACCATCGATATAAATTCGCCGACAATAAATGGTATGTAAAATATAACAACAAAAATGAACTCTGAAGGAGTTTCCCTTGTGGAAAACAAACATTTCTTAATTTTACGCACAGGTTCTTGTCGTATAACTGTGCTGATTCCTTTGAGTCGAAGCTATTCTCTTTGGAGTTTAGTGCAGCAGGACATTTTATGCCGTTGTCCTGATGGACGACAATCGGAAGTGACCTTATTCATTCCACCAGAATTATGAACTGTGTTTTCTAATGGTTGCCAACAAATGTGCTCATGAGGGAGAGACGTTTCTGCCGGAGCTGACTTCTCGGTGTTGAATGAATGCTTAATGACCTTTCCTATATGTAGCTTTCTTTCACACTGGAACATAAACATATTTGTTTACTGTGATGTCGACCCTCTTAACACTTGGTCAAGAAAGCCTGGTTTGGGTCAATGCCTTTCAATGAGGAGATACTTAAAGAGGATAATAACATGCCAATACTGCCGATAATGACTGTCTAAAGCATGTCCTGGAACTAATTTTCCTTTTGATCTAACAACAATGTCTGTCAGATGTAGTCTGACCATTGATGGTCCAAAGCCTACTCCATAAAGTGCTATACAGTAGAGTACACAGCGTTACTGCAGGTCTGGAGCTATACGGTTTTTTTATCCTTAATGTAAAGTTCTGAAAAGAAGCTAAACATCCTGGTGGCTTAGACGTTTAGTAAGGTGCATAAACAAACATAGTCGTGCAGAATAATGAACTGAGATTCTCTTAAACAGACTTAGTGGTTGGTAACACAGTCCCGCTCACTGTGTATTATCAGTTTCATTTTAGTCCTGCATGTTAATTTAATATTTCTCTTAATAGCTTTAATTCAATTCAGACATCTCGCTCTCAATATCAAAAATGCAATAATGAGTTAATGGCCAGCATATAATAAAAATGTCTAATTAATATTTTGCACTAAGGACACGATGCAGCTCTTCGGTTTTGTTGGCGCCTGTATTGCTTTGCTGTATATGGGTGTCGGTACAGGGTGTTACAGTGTGGCTGTATTGATACTTCAGGTCTGTGACCGGGAAGGCAGAGCCCGCCATGCCGGGGAGGCTCTACGTTCACCCGGACTCTCCGGCCACGGGGGCGCACTGGATGAGGCAGCTCGTCTCCTTCCAGAAGCTGAAACTGACCAACAACCACCTGGATCCGTTCGGACACGTAGGTGCCTAGGCCTGTCATCTCTATACTTTCAAACCACAAATGTGTGTCTCTGTAAACCGATAACCTAGCATTTTGATCGGTCCTGACAACGTGCCATTTGCTTGATGTGTTGCTCAGTGGTACTTCAGCAGCGTGGGCTTGGCTTTGGTCCAAGTCGTTCCTTTTTACGCATCTCATATGCGTCTTTATTACCCTTTACAATACAAGTTGCTGCAGTTGATCCCGTCTAATGGTCGGTTTTGTCGTTTAAGTTCAAAAGCGTTCAAAACCTGCATTTGTATGAAATTCATGCAAATAGAAAAAGTCATTGGCGCCAATTACTTACACAGAGCTTCATTTGAAAAAGGACTCCACAAAATGGGTTATTGAGAGGGGAGGCACTCTGCGACCATTTACTAAGAATAAAAATGATTGTCATTATTATAAAGTTGGCTGCTTTTATATTTGAATCGTTGCACTGTAACTGTACCACTTATACACAACTATTGCACCTCGGAGTTTATAATTTAAAAAACAGGAAAGGTTCACCTGCCCTTTCGCATTTGTTCCTTAAAACGGCATTTTTTCATGATGAGACACTATTCAGGCTTAATGTCGTCTGTTAAACTGACTTTAAAATCTGAACAGACCGGATTTTACTTTTCAAACCGCTTCTTTTGCATGTTTTTGTGACACAAAGTGGATTTTCTCTCTCTGCAATGGGACTTTGAAAAAGAATATTTATGTATTTTCAGTGAAACTATAGCTGCTGGTGTTTCAAATAGAAAATGTTTAGAATAAATTTTTATCTTCCCAAAATACAAAGTAGGTTATTATATTGTGTCAGAAAAAAAAGTACAATGACTTTTAAAATCTCAAAAAATATATGGTCTGGCATTTTAATATAATAAATTTCACAGAAAAATCATTTAGAAGTTTATACTCTGAAGATGAAATGCAAGAGAGAGGAGTTAAAAGGAAAGTAAAGTATTTGTCAGAACACTCCTGTATATGTTTGGAGAAACCCCCAGTTTGTAATATTGATTATAAAATCCTCACTTCAATTTCCACTCTGCCAACAGTGATGGTAAACGATAACATATTTGTTATACCAACATCCTGGAGCCTCGTTGGTACTTTTAGTTTATTTGAAGACCAGATGCATTCAGGTTTTTAGCAAAAAGGAAAGAGGGGCCTGCATCCCCACCCGCCACCTCCCTCACCCCCCTGTGTGGCACCTATTTTAATGATTTTAACTCCTCATTACTCTGAACTCACTCTCTGGTTCCAGGGTTTAGTGATTCCTGTATTTCCCAAAACTAAAAACACAAACATCACTTACTTCATCGGTGTGTTTCCAAATGGGCCCTTCAGCAGCAGGTTAAATAAAAATGTGTCACATTAAGGCCTAATGAGATGTGCTAGTGTAGAAACTCAATAGTCACACATTTACCTTTCTTATTAATAGGCTCGTTATTAAAGGAAAAAACAATTATGAGGTTGGCAAAAAGCAAATCAGCTACAGCCCTGTTTTTAAAGACAGAGGTGGAATGATCAGGGAAAAACTTGAATTAAGTGTTTTTCATTTTAAATTGCAGTGTGAAACTGAATACGTTTTAATATGGAGGAGAAAGAGATGTACAGTATAATGGATGTTTTCTATAAATATATCTTATTAAGAGGCAGCTTGACGTTGTCTTATTTTAGTGTTACAATGATTCAGTATTAGGTGTATTCCTGTTCTTTTATATCAATGCCTCAGTTTGACAAGGAATCTAAAGTGAGAGTTAACAAAGAACAACATATGCATATGTATTCCTACACACACACACACACAAGCCATTATGTATCCACATGGCACACACAGTGATTGTTGCCTTGCTCAAGCACAACTGGTGAACTGAACCTGGAGCTCAGTGAGAATGTGAGCACTGTTGCACATTTTCAGTTAAAGGGCATTTTTCATCGGTTCCAGTGTTTCCTGGCTTGCCTTTTTTCGTGTTGGGAGATGGCATCAGGACTCAGTTTGTTGCTCTATCTGCTTGAAATAATATGATTAATAATTACTAGTAGTGAGATATAAGACCAAATAATGTATCTGATGTAGATTTGAACAATTCAGGATGCATCTGAAATAGTTTTTTTTTTTTTTTGTCCAGAAATATCTGGTAATGAGACACATCAGCAGACAAAACAGGGCCGAGCTCAGTAGCTCTGGGCTGTTGTACAGGAGTGTGATAGGAGACGATGGAGGCTAAAGCCCCACAAGGTCGGAGTGTTTGTATGCAATTGGAGTGCAGTTCTAAAAACCTAGAAATTAAGTAATGTAAAGGTAAAATCCTGCCTGGATGACATTGTTCAAGCAACAGTTTAGAAGAGGATAGCATGTTTGTTTCCATTTTATCCCACTTATACTATTATTCATTTCCATTACATACCTCTCGTACATCTGTGACAGCTGTGGTTTTATGTACTAAATGATGTGCTTATAAAATGCTGCTTGTACCTTAATTCATTGGTAATAGTCGTTTGATAGTATGGGGCCATTCTGGTTAATGACTACTTTTACTTTTGATACTTTACTACATTTTGCTGTTCACACATTTGTGTTTTTAAATTAAAAAACTTTTAGTTTTTTTAAAAGCAAAGTATCTTGATATTGTGGTATCACTAGCTACTTAAGTAAAAAATCTGAATAGTCAAGTTACTGCACTACAGGGCTACTTTGGTGTCATTACATAACCAGACTGGTGTTGTTTATGTGTTGGAATTTCTAAATATAATAGGTTTTTGGTCTGGATTTTATGGCAAACTGCTCTGATCTTCTCCTCAACTCCCAGAATATTCCTGTATTATTCAACTCCCCCCTCAATTTGCTCCTGCACTCGTCTCCCTGTCTTCCCACACATGTTTTGGCCTGCAGGGTGGAGTGTGAGGATCGCACTGTTTATACTTGAATGGCAGTGTGCAATGAGCAATTGATGGTGGTGTACAAAGCCTGTTAATCCCAAGGCTCGGGGAAACTCTCTGATGTGGTGGAACTTGAAAGCAAAGGGCAGCGGCTCAAGACCCAGAGTGATCCCTCACTATCACTAAATACTATCATCCAGGGGCTGATACAAGGACCCAGGCAGGGCAGCGGCTGGGCCAGGGAGACGAGGCGTGTGCTGGGGCCCCACTGGGTGGTCTACAACTACAGCCCTACCCCCAAAACCCCCTAACTAACACATTTACTGGACTGGGGGAACCACAGTCGGTTGACCATGTTATTTTCCAGGGTGAAATGTACGATTAGAAATTTCAGTGCAACCTCTAATCTGTCTCAATGGCAGACATTTTTAGTTTCTACCAGGTAGTGTGGTGACTAATGTGTTTGCATATGATGAGCTTGGTGTTGTAATTTGTCTCAGTTTATCTCTGTGAGTTTCAAATAGGTCAGTAATGAATGCATGCCCAGGAAAACATTTTGTTTAACCTGCTTTCTATCTGCAGTGTGTTCCAGCAGTTTAAATGGTGGTGCTGGTGAACAGTTGTTCATTTGCACAGTGGCATAACATTACAACCCAGGAACCTATGCAATCCCACACTGAAATATGTAAATTAATACAAAATTACCAGGAATACAGCAGTGGGGGGTGTAAGTTTTCTCAGCCTGGGATTCAGTTCTGAACTCTGATCCAAGTAAACAGACCTAAAAAAACAACTTTGATGTAAATTGTTTCATTTATAGTAGACTGCCAAATTTGCAGTGTTTGGGTGATATGCACAAAAAATCCGGACAGACATTTTTGCACATGGTCAGTAACTAATAAATAATACAATGATGCACTGCAGGCAATTGAAACACATTTCTTTCAAAAAACCTTTTACACCATGAAATACTGGAACTTTATAATGGTACTGTATCATCTATCTAAACATCTATGGTTCACTTAGGTCCAAGAACGGACGTTGGATTATGTCTATGTAATACTGCAGGATGCCCCCACAGGCACTGGAGGTCAGGGTGATGTCTTGTCTCTTCTCATGCTGGCAGTGAAAGGCAGGTACAAAAACAACCTTTAAGATAACAGATAGGAGGGATGCCTATGGGACAGAGGTGGGGGTAGCTGGCTGTGAAAAGGAGGGGAGAGCTGGGGAAGGGGAAGAGAAAAAAGCCCTGTTTTTTAATCTATAAATGTAAGTGGAGCTGATAAAAATGAAAACCATCAAATTTCCTCAATGCTAATAACTGAGACCCCCTGCTCCGTCAAAACAACTTGAGAGTCACAAATGAGAGGGTCCCAAAGGAGAAGTTCAAGGCTCAAGTTCAGCTGTGGACAGCATCTTAATGTCGCCATGCCTCTGGTAGTAGTCATCACTTAGACAACCTTAGAGGGGCATCAAGAGAGGACATATGTTAGCCTATTCCTCAGAGGTTGCTCATCTACTCCTGACTTTTACTGTGGGAACACTAATGTAATAACTGTCATGTAGAGGTGAATTAGTCCTCTGAACCAAGACAATGACAGTCAGTTTTATTTAAGTTAAAACAACTCAGACCTTTATGTTTTTAAATAAAAAAAGTTCATATGAGTAAATCTTCAATGCCTTTAGTAATGCATTCAAAGTTTTACTTTTGGTTAAAGGTATTGTTATGCAACTTTTGACTGAAAACCCTTTTCTGCCTAAAGTTGTGCAGAAATTCTGCCAATACATTTTCTCACTTTTTTGCAAGAAATGACTCCCCTGTTGTTTTCATGCCTTGTGTTTGCCTTTCGTTTAGGTAAATGTTAATAAGGTAAATGAGCAGCACATGAGCATCAATGAACACTCCAAAACGTTGTCAAAGAAATTTGGGCGTCAACTTTTATTTATTTATTCCTTTACTCCAAGCACTATCGAAGAAAATCTAATGTTAGAATGTTTGTCTAATTGTGTCAGGTTTTATTTTTAGAAAGCGTTTTTCATAACAACATTTACTGTGATAATATGCAAGAATCTGATGCTAAATTACATGTTGTTTTAATTCTAGATCATCCTAAATTCGATGCACAAGTATCAGCCGAGGATCCACATTGTGAAGGCGGATGAAAACAACGGCTTTGGCTCCAAAAACACGGCCTTCTGCACTCACGTCTTCCCCGAAACAGCCTTCATTGCGGTGACGTCCTATCAGAACCATAAAGTAAGTCTCTCGTAGTTCACTACTGGATTTTGTTTTGTTTTATTTACTGCAGCCTGTGCCATTGAAGAAATGCTACTTTGCATATTTTATGAGGCTATTTAATTTCAACAATTTTATAAGGTGAACAAGAGAAAACGCAGAAGTAACCAGAGCCATATAGCCTATTGATCAACATTTAGCAAAAATGCTGGATTATGGTTTTTCAAATTCTTTAAACTCTTTTCAGATTATGAAAACGATAGCATTAATAATGTCACTCATACCAAACTTCTCGTGGGTTTTGCCCGTTTTCTGCGGAACTCCTGGCACCAAACTGGACCAGCTGGAGAAAAAGTGAAGGACGCGGTTGTCTGTGACGGTGAAGTGAAGCCTTGTTACTATCAGCTGAAAATCTCTATCACACTGACTCACTGTCACATGCAGGAAAACGTCAGATGCCTGAATACACGACGTCTGACATCAAGAGACGTTCTCCAAGCTA